AGCAAACATTAAAGGTTAAGTTCTATTATTAAAGCCAAAACACTCATTTCCTCAAATCATAATACTACACTGAAACTAACCATACATAAAATTTACCTAAGATACCAGAAGGTAAGGCATTAAAAAAAAAAAACAAAAGACTATCAAAGTATCCAAAGATTACTGACCGGTGCATAAATGACTTTTGTGCCTCGCTTTCCATATTGGCTATTTTATCCAACAATGTCTTTGTAGTACCTTGGCCATCACCAGCATCCTTTTCAGGAAAACAATGCCTAATCAATATATCTGAAAAATGTTGTGGGATGAGAGAGAAAGTGAGGCGTTTTAGAGAGAGAGAGAGATGTAAACAGAGGAGAAGTTGTTGTTGTGACTCAGCGTGAAGATGACGAAGAGGTGCGAAATTCATGTGGAAGTTACCCAGGACTTTCAAACGGAAAACTGACCAATGTTTGATTGCCACGTCAATTAAATTGGTTTTTGATTGGTTAGTTTGGAGTAATTGGTTGAGATATGTGAGGGAACGTGGGTTGGGTGGGGTGGGGTGGGGTGGATGTGGATATATTTATTTATTTATTTATTTTTATTATCTAATTACAGGTGACAAAAGCTGGAGATAAAAGTTGGGCTTCATGACACCAAAATTGGTGTTGGCTTTTAATAATAGAATAGATTATAATAGCAAAGTTTTATTATAAACTTAAAGCCAAATATCAGAAACTTAACAAATATACAGAACTGTTCTCAAGATCACAAGCTTGAAGTTATTTGAATAGAAATTAACAGAGATTAACTAAAAAGATGAATACCATGCTCATTCCCACCCATGGGCTTTGCAATGATCACCTTAACATGGCAATTCACTGTATCCCTAGAATTATGCTCGGATCAAAAACTGGCTGTGACCCACGGACAGCAGCCAAACCAGTTATAACACTACAACATCTCATGGTAAGAACCAAAGCATGCAGTCAATGAGAATGGGAAGGAACAAATATTGTGGCTGCTGCACAAATGGGATTTAAAAAAATTTTGAAGAGAGAGAGAGAGAGCAACAACCTACAATGCAAAAAATGGAAAACTGGACCATTAGCTTGGTGAGTTGTGACAGCAATGACCAAAATGGATGTAGATAATAAGCTTATTATTTTTAACATTTGCAGCAATTATACTCCCATCATTCATGGTAAATGAATGTTCTAAATAAAACATAATGTCAAATGCAGTATTGACCACTAGAAATAAAAAACAGTTGCTGAGGGCCACAAAGGGTCCAGGAATGTTAACTACAAGAATTCTTCTTCTGTAGTTAAAGTGGAATTGAGTGATTGACTTACTTAACATACAGAATGAAAAAGTCTTCCACAATAAACTTGCCATCCATCACAGATTGTTGGAAGTCTATATATAGTTGCCCGAAGTGTTTTGCCCTGCCCAATTAGATACATTTATGTATTATAGGACGTAAGTTGAAAGTTGTGCACAATATTACCTTGAAGAAAAACACCAAGGAAAAAAAGCTTCAACGCCCTAAGCCATGCTTTCTGTGTAGCATCTACTCTGTCTGAAACTCTCTGACATTAAAAAAAAGGGGAGTCTTATTGCTGAATGATTGACTTCCTCAATAATCATTATCTGAGTGTAGAAATTATTGAGTGCAGATGTTAGGCCAGTATATAATTACCCGGAATTTCATAGCGTGTAAAGATAATTATCCAATTTAAGAATAAAAAGTTACAGATCTCTTGGCAAAAAGATTTGTTTTCCTGGATAAATATACAATCACTACCTTATATCCAAGTGCAAGAGAAACCCCAGCAATGAAAAGGAAGAAAGGCATCACAAAGTCTGCCAAGTGTACACCATTCCATGGGAAATGAGCAATGATTGGAAAAATCGAGCCACCATAATCTATGAGCATCATAAGCTGAAAGCAAATGATACAATATATCATAAATTCCATGAGCTGAAAATATCAATATCAACTGAGTGGTCAGTTGTTATGCTTATGTTTTAAGGCTTGAGTTGAATTTTGGAGGCATTTAACCCAAAATCAATTGGCAATAGTTGCAAACTTGCAGAGGTTTCTAGATTATATCAATTAAGCTTGTGTGTCTTAGAAAAGAGATATAAGGCAAGTCTCTAACAATTCTCTGATTGGCCTCCCATGTAGGTGATAGAGTGATGAACAAAACCTAACAACAGATCCAGGATACAAACTTACATGCCAAGTAGTAAATCAAAATCTGCATTAAAATACAGGTAGTAAATTCACATTCAAAATTTAAAAACTTGTGTCTTTACCAAATATAAGAAATGAAAGCATCATGGGGAATAAATCTGGATTACTTTCATTCTCATTTTATTCATGCAATGCAAGAACCTCCCTGCTTGTAACTCTGCTTTCTCTTCTGATTTAGCTTCACTTCTTCACTAGAAGTTAAAAAAATGCAGATCTAAGATCTGAGAACTCTAAGCTCATCAATAATTAAAATATATAGAATTGATCAATTCTATTGTCAGAATCATCGCATTACAAGTTTATTAATCGTTAAAATACACGTTAATGTGTGATGCAATTCACATCTGTATGGAAATCTTACAAGTTGACTTGCTACTAGTACTGCACACAGAAAAATTGAAAAAATGAGAAGTTGCCTTGTTTTGAGAAGTTGACTTGAGTTTTAGATCTGACAAAAAAACTGAAAAAATCTTAAATCAATATCATCTAGACCAAACTATATGATTTGGTTTGAATTTCTCAATGTACAATTCAACCTTTAATCTTAAAATTGGTGAAATGTACGTCATGATTTGGTCCATGATTATATTTACGGTTTCAATGTATATATATATAAAGTTTATTATAATAGCAAAGTTTTATTATAAACTTAAAGCCAAATATCAGAAACTTAACAAATATACAAAACTGTTCTCAAGATCACAAGCTTGAAGTTATTTGAATAGAAATTAACAGAGATTAACTAAAAAGATCAATACCATGCTGATTCCCACCCATGGGCTTTGCAATGATCACCTTAACATGGCAATTCACTGTATCCCTAGAATTATGCTCGGATCAAAAACTGGCTGTGACCCACGGACAGCAGCCAAACCAGTTATAACACTACAACATCTCATGGTAAGAACCAAAGCATGCAGTCAATGAGAATGGGAAGGAACAAATATTGTGGCTGCTGCACAAATGGGATTTAAAAAAATTTTGAAGAGAGAGAGAGAGCGCAACAACCTACAATGCAAAAAATGGAAAACTGGACCATTAGCTTGGTGAGTTGTGACACCAATGACCAAAATGGATGTAGATAATAAGCTTATTTTTTTTAACATTAGCATTAAAAGGCCACGCACAAAACCTAAAAACAGCTCCCTTCTAAATTTAGAAAATAATACACACTGCTATACGTATTATTTTGTTTTAACATTGATTGCTTCCTTATTTTTTTTTTTTGATCAACAATCATGTGCTTTTTACAGCACTGAGAAGCGGGTTGAAGGCTTCCAACAAGGTTTAGTTCCCTCTGTTTACAATAAAACCGTCAATGACATTTTTCCCGTTAAAAACTAAATAAAGAAATAAAAATTAACCTGAAGGACAAAAAGATATGGAGAGGAAGACAAGATAGGCAAAGTTTGTAACATCAATTGACAGTTATTGGTGCAACGATTTATTATAACATGGAGTAACATGCATGTAAATGTCTAGCATTTGGAAAATTCAATTTCATTGTTTTCATTGGAATGAAATTGCTGTAGGAATGTCATCTAATTTTCTGTAGCCATTTTACAATTATAGACAAGTTTATATAATTAGCAAAGTTTTGGAGAACCAAATATTGAAATCGACAAACATTCTCTTCACATCAGGTGTAGGAACATGATGACACCTAACCTCCGGTGAAATTAAAGCTAAATAACATACAATCACCTACCCTTTCACAGTGCCAATAGGGAACCAAAGTTTCTTCACTTTCCTTTCCCCTTTTTTGGATAGTTAAATAGACTACCCAAAAAAGATAGCTTCCATCAAGTCAGCACAGAAAATAATTAAACCTGCAGCAATTCCCAACCAGCACCATCACCGAGATCCAGAAAATTGACAGCTTCTAACAAGCGGTCATCTGCTAAACAATACCTACACCATATAAAAAATAAAAAATAAAAAAAAGGGCAAATGAACTGATCAATGGCAAAGGAGTGCCATATTAAAAACATAAATGGGATAACACAATGGGACTGCAGGAAAAAAAAGGTCATGATTCCAGAGGTGTAATATTAGAAAATTGTTTTGTATTAGTATGGAAACATTTGGCGACGATTACCAATGTAAATATATCAGATGGTCTTACGTTTGAAGCTGCTAAATGTAAGCAATGTCAAAAAGTAGAAAAGATTTGGCAAATGGCCTGGCAGAAGTGCTAGTAGTATGTCTACAATCACTCATCAAGGTCAGCTAAGTATGGCTGCATAAATAGTAGACATCAATTAATAATCAGCCCTTACGCTAGCAGGTTATCAGAATGGATAGGCAAACAAAACAGGATCCTCGACCAGACCTAAAAATAATTGGAGCATAGTTAAATGCTGACAATGCAACCTGACTCCTTTTGCCAACATTTTTGGCATAGGAGAGCTTGGAAAGACCCAAAATCAGGTGGCTTCAAGCTCTACTATTATGGTTTTCAGAATAAAGCTACAAGCCATCTACAAGTAACAACTGCGAATTGTTTTTCACGACATAAACTTCAACAATCTAATAATATGATAAATAGTTTTTTAAACATTCAGGGGACCCTTATCTGGTGAGGATTCAAGCAAACATCAGCATATAAAGCCCAAATGCCTCTGGTGTGTAGTCTTCATTTGCGTAGGAACCTCAGATTACACAGCCTTCCCATGAGGGGCCTAGTCTATCATGGCCCAGGGGACCTTCTAGAAAAGCCAGGCAACACAACCAACAAGTCAGAGCTAAGCACAACTCAGTAGCTAAAGGGCATTCCACCAAATATACATCAATGACACAACCATCATCAGTATTTCAAGGGCATAGTCTGACAGGAAATAGCAAAAAGGTCAGAATAGACAACCCACAAGTCAGAGCAATGCATAATTCAGTAGCTATTCCAGCAAAGATACACCAATCCTCAATGAAGTTCAGGTCTTTAATGCAACTATAGCTCATCAGAATTAAGTTCACTGGATCCAAAAATTCTGTTCATAATGTTGTGTGCGCACGTCAAAAAAATCTATATATAGATATATGAATATAATTTTAATGTAAGCAGTGCTGAAATCTTAAAATTTAAGAGAGGGGTTCTTACTCTCTTGTAGCTTCAAGATCAAGTCGAAAAGTGCTTTCCAGAAGTCTCTGTAAGTTCATTGCATGAAAATTTAGGATGGATTGAAGAGCTAATTAAATTACAACTCAAGAAAAAAGGTGGAAATCATGAATGAACAGTAGAACAACTTCATACTGTTGTAGCTTACTTGCAATGAAAGGCTATCCATGATTCCTGCTTCACAAAATGGAATAAACGCCAAGTATGCAAAAAGAAGACCTGCTTCATATCTGCAAACAGGAAACAATGACATGCAAAATAATAGCTTATATATTCAAAATAACCACAAAAAATTCAGGAAATTCACATGTCATCTGCTATTCCAAAGGCTCTTTTCTCCATAGGAGTGAATGCACCAGCTGCAGATGCCCGTCTCCAAAGTCCTTCTGACAATGCTCCTGAACCTTCCTCTAGTTGTGAATACCTAGAAACATCTGATCCTATAAACCACCATTTGGAAGGTAATCATGAATCTCAGTTACACAAGTAATTCATTAAAATAATTCTCGATATTCTCCTTTTTCTTTTTCCTTCTCTCCTTGAACTTACCCATCATCCAGAGCAATAGAGCAATTAAGGTGTTACAGATTCTAATAAACCACCAGCCTGAACCCTAGTAAAAGTAGGTAATTAGTGACTGAGTAGCTGAACACCCAGTGATGGGATGACAGTTTTAGCTAGAGGTTTTGCCACACCAAAACTATGGGAGGATGCTGTTGCAAATAATTCGCTTCAGCATTCTTATGCACTCATTATTAAAAGAGTATAGACAGTGTTTTCATATGAAGTATTCTCCAAAGGAAACTAAGGAAGCACGTTAACATGCACAAAATCAGGGATGGGATATATGTGTGCATGAATCCAACAGAACCTACACCAAGGAACCCTCACAATATATTGGGGATAATTGAAGAACTCCAATCTTGACCAACATATTTTTAACACTGATAAAGGCATACTTTCTAAGAGAACTTATGGGTTGGATTTCCGCAGGAACTAAGAACATTTCTTATCAAATTGCTCTAAGAGTTTTTCTAGAAGAAACTAGATTAGCTAATGCCCACATCTAAGTAACATCTTGAATCTCTTTGTCTTACATGGTTAGTTTTGCGATGTTCATGTCTCTTTGTTATCCAAAGGTTTCATGCAAAATTGTTATGCTGCACTCATCAACAAGATTACGAGAAAATAAAAACATCTTCAAAGTCATTTCTGCTACTGCATGACCTTTCCAATTTTCAATAGAAGTCCAGGTCATATGATTTTCTTTTCAGCATTATATGTCTTGTATTAATCATCACAAATTGGTAATATATCTCCAATTTCTTTGTTAAAAAAAAAAAAAACTGCATATGCATATATAAGCAAAGATATTTTTTGGTCAATGTAAAACATACCCTAAATATGAGTAAAGATGAAACAAAACAAAACAAAATCTTAAATATATTAGAAAACAGCCTTAGATATTGATAATTGTAAGGTAAGAAGACATGCATTAAATTAAGATATGCATGTTTGGCAAGCTAACACCAGATGAACACCCCGTTTGGATCGTGAGGGGAGGTGAGAAAAGAAAAGAAATGATTATGCTTTCTCACTATTATGTTTGGATGAATAAAAGGAAAGAGAATACGGTTTCTCACCTATCTTGTTTGGATAGCGTAAGTAAGAGAAAGGAAAAGAAAGTGTTTTATTTCATTTTACCAAAATAACCTTCCGTATTAATAAGCCACATTTTTTCATGAGGGTAATTTTGGTATTTTAAACAAGTCTCATTAAACTCAATTCTTTTCTCACCAAATCTCACCACTTTTGGTGAGAAACAGAACACAGAACACAGGATTGGTGAGAGTCTATTTCTCAGTCTATTTCTCACCATCTCACACCATTTCTCACAATTTCTTTTCTTTTCTTCTCACCAAACCCCTCCATCCAAACAAATTGTGTTATTTTCCTACATGGTCATGACAACTAGCTCTTCTGCAGCGTACTGTAGCCTTTATAAATGTTATAATTTAAGCACACTTCTTTGTTTGGTTGTTATGAAGTACATTCAAAATAAATTACACCAAGGGCTATACCGTATATCAACAGAAAAAGCAAGATCCCGAAGCCGTGGAACTAGGTAAGCTGCATCTTTCTCATCCACAGTACTGCCATTAGTCAAAAGAACTTTGTATGATGTTCAATAGAGTGAAGAGAGCAATTGTGTAAGAGATAAATGAAGCCACAATGTGAATGAAATTACAAATGCCAAAGACAGCATACTTGAGTACAACAGAAGCAGGTCCAAGACTTTGGTGTAGTCTGTCATGGTCATGCATGTAGGCTAGGCCACATAAAGCACCATGAAGCAACTTAATAACAAAAAATCTTCTACGCTTTATAGTTAGCTCTTTTTCAAAAGGATTCCAGGAGTTTTTCCCTCCTAGTTTTGACATTTTTTCACTCTTAACTTTTGCATAGTCTGCGGCACTGTATTTCCCATCATTACGAAAAGCAAGCCACTGTACAGAACACATTTTATGTAACTTGTGTAAAAAATTTACCAAGAAACGTGTAACACGTGATATGAATGATACTTATATAACAGACCTGCTCCCCAGTTTTTGTCTCAAACCCACCAAGAAGTATTTGGAGATTCTGAGAGACAGTTTTCGAACTGCTCTGCAAAGGAAAAACATTATTATAAAAGGTTATTGGCAGAATCCATTCACTAGTATGCATGAAGAAATTATAATAACATAATGAAGTTTTCAAGTACTTTAAGATCGTTTATTGAAAGTATGATATCTTACTTGAAGGAATGCGTGAACATTTAGTTCATTTGCAGCCATCATATCAGCCTTAACACCACCAACTTGTTGTCTAGGATAAACCTTCATCATTAGCATGACATTAAGAACAAAATATGGTAATTTTAAATAACTCAGTTGAATAGAAGCTAGTGCAAAAGAAATTGTTGGAGTTCCTACTAATACATCCAAATGCACAATTCATGTAGTCAAGTAGTCTAAGAGTATACAGCAATGAAAACTTTCCATAAAAAGCAACCTGCCTGCACATTTTAAACTTTTATTAATAGAAATTTGAAGAACAAAATCCAATTTTCGACAGATGCTACACAAAAGAATAGAACCTAAATAGCTAGTTTTCCTCCTTTTTTCCGAAAAAGTAAAATAATAATAACAATGCTATAGCCTACAAGACATCTATAGTAATTGAAAGTAAAAACAAATGAAAAGGAAATACACAAGGACAAAATTTGTCATAGGGATGAACTAAGACAATGTTTAACTCAAGGAAATTGAAAAGGAAAAAAATACTAGATTATTGATTTCATTAGCAAAAGAGAGGCTTGAGTAATTGAGCGAGTCATCACTACACATGTCCCAAACTTACTGTAAATGTATGTTGTTGTTTGGCCGCACCATAGCTTTTCTTAACAACTCTCCCAGCAATAGTTCTCTTTCCAAGAAAACTTCCACTCCTTGTCATTTTATCAAACCTGTTTGGATATAAACCTGTACGGAATTAGCTCCTTCATTTACCGAGCAAATATGATTTACAAACTACGGTGGAAATCAAGAGATTCATATACAGAAGGAAAACAAGAGCTGAAACTAGTGAGTTACTTCTTGTAGAAAATGACAATATTATTTGAGAAACAAGACATTTAATAAAAGATCAGATAGTAAGCACGACCCAACATTTCCCACCTAAAATCCAAGCAAATGATTGAAAATCTAGTTTGCAAGCATGGGAAAAACAAACCCACATCTAAAGTTTTGAAAGTATGTACTAAAAATTTGCTATAGTTGTAAGGCAAGAGAATTACGTCAATTATCATCAAAAATCATGTCCGATATGGCCCACCATTCCAAAATGCATCAAGCAGGTCCGGATGCTAACCTAAATCCAGAATCATGAGCACAGCCACTGAAACTTCAAAATGCGGGTCTACTCCTTACATAGTTCATTTACTTTAGTACTATTTTCCCTTTAGAAATAAAGTTCAGACACATACCAAATGTAACTCCATCTGTCGTTTGCATGGTTCCTACAATGCAACCATTAGTAATCGTACACATACACATACTTCAGACATTAGACTCCCCCCGAACTTTCCCCATTATCAGTATGATGAATTGCAGCACCAAGTGTATCCCTAGAAAAATTTGATACATGGGAAAATTTGATTACAGCACCACATTTCCATTTCTCAAAAAGGGGAAGGGAAAAGAAAAATTAAAGGTAAAGAAAAAAAAATGAAATGAATTACATTACAAAATGGACACTAATTTACACAAAAATAGGACGTTTGGGAGTAATGGTATGACTTGAAACAAAAATGTTAGTGCATCGATCATATGTACTATGCTCTCTCTATTTCATAATCTGAGTTGGGCATATCAGAAATTTGCAAGGAGAAGAGTAGGCAACATCTCAAGGAGCCTTGTTACAGAGAATATAGAGGTTTATTCAGTCAACCTCATTTGCGCTCTTAGCCCACCTGTCTGTCCTCCAGAGTATAAGAGAGGCCTGTTAGGTAAAGCCTGAACTTTTTGCATTTTCTGGTTTGTGTTTCTATATTTTGTCAAACCCATTGATAATCAGTTTTGAGTCTTTTTCAATATAAAATAACCAAGATGATCCCTAAACCATAAAAAGGAAAACACCACAGAATGCAAACAAACTTCTATAGTTCTATTATACGAGCTGACAAACTTCAGTTTTGAGTAAAAATCTTTTTTAGAGCCCATATTTAACTTATACCACATGTAAACATGGGCTCAGAATCCTAGGCAAATCATGAAAATGTTTATAAACTGCTCCCAAAATTATCATTGGCGTCCAAGAGAATGCTATTGATCAAATTCTAACTATTACCATGAATGGGAATTATGAACTAAAATGGCATCACTTGCAACACAATTAAAAATGCCTTACTGACCAGGCTGAGAGCTGTTGTGCCCAGCAGCAGCAAATACAGCTTACCCTGCAATGGTTTCAAAATTCAAGTTACATTCTCTAATTGCAATTACACAGGATAAAACCACACACCAAAACTATGATTGAGGATTGTAGGTTCATAGATGGAAAAAGGTTGATGCAATAACATTATCAGAATTGTAATTCATGTAAGCTAATGGTATTTTTATCAGTTTAATAGCTCTGAAATACACATATTGACATTACAAACTTCTGTTTGAAAAAGAAAAGACTTCAGTTTAAGTGGACACAACCATTCAAAACCGTGCTAACAAATTAAAAATGGAAATTTTACTTCAAGTAGATGAACATTGGAAGCACGACTTAAGAGAACAAAAGCAAATTCTCCAATTTTTGCCAGAGACATTCCAACCTACAAATATCGAACAACTAAGGTCCCTCTGTCAACAGAGTTGTCAAAGATCAAGGTGCACAAAAGAGTAGTCAAGCAAGTAGATAGTAAATCCTTACAAGTAGTGAGGTCTTGTTATTGGATCGAAATCCTTTAACTACTGTTGCAACCACAAGAGTCTTTATGACAATCACCAATACAATGACTGCTAGTAAAATATCAATGTGATTCAAAAGGAAATGAACATGTATAAGCATCCAAATGCTGGCAAGGAAAAGTGTAGCAAAGAAGTTGCGAATGGGTTCAACCTGTTAAAAAAGAACAAACTCCATATTAAAATCAAACATTCTCTGTCATGGTGCTTTGATAAGTACAGGTCACATCACAGAAATATACTAAATGCAGTAAATCCACATAATACATAGAGTTGATAATATTTGAATCAGTAGCAGAATTTTGTGAAAGGAATAAAGGCTTCCACACACATCTCAATTTGAGAGAGAGAGAGAGAGAGAGAGAGAGATGGAGATGTCCAATTTGCTAGCAATGCTTGCTTTCCAAGATTTCTTCTACAAAGAACATCGCAGGTAGATATTCCAATTGAGTAGGGCATCTGGGGGAGAGCATTTGCAGTTCTTTTGACAAAAGAGAAGTTCCTTTGTTTAGGTTGAAAAGTTTCTTTTAAAGCTTTTTCTATTGTTGGGAGTTGGGAATGTCTAACCTTTCTCTTGATCAGTTTTTAGATTGCATAGGGATTTTTGATACGCAAGATGTAGGTATCTTGTGCCTTCTTTTTCTTTTTTCCTTTTCTTTACTTGTGTTTCCCTTAATGTCTTCTTTTATGAAATATTTTTACTTATAGAAAAAAGTAAAGGCAGATACAAGAAAATTGTAGAAAATGATCTTAAACTTGCATTATTATAAATGAGAGTCTCAACTCATTTGGCAAATACAATTCGTTGATAAGCTATATGCAGGCAATGACAACAAATCCGACTTTAAAAAAAAACTATTATGGATGTAGAGGATATATGATGGATAACTGAGCTTCAAGGTGTAAAAGCCTAAATTGAATGCTTGCTAAAACAAATAGCTCAATTTCAAAAGTCAACCATCATATTGGTAGCATCAGAAAGGAAGAATTGGTCTTCCATGACTATAAATTAGGCACACGAAGTTACATGGTCTTCCATGGATTATTTACATGGATTAAATACAGCATTAATTCTGAAAATTAATTTCAAAAATTAGGGAAAACATTAATTTTGAAAATTAGGGAAAACAAAGATAGAAAAATAGAGAAATTAAGTGAGAGAGAGAGAGAGAGAGAGGGAGAGAGAGAAAGAGGACCCATACCTGATGGAAGAGAACACGAAGCAGTAAAGGAGATACGACGTCTGTGGCGACACTGAAGGAGGAGAACAGCGACTTTGGCAGCGGCGTTGGAGAAGAACACACTGAAGGGGCGCCGGAGAAGAACACATTGAAGGGACTTGTGTTTTGAGAGGGAGAGGGAGAGGGAGAGATAGAGATTGAAAACTGATTCGTCAATAAACAAAACACTCAGCCCTTGTGTTTTGTTTTGAGAGGGAGAGACAGATAGAGATATACGAAAAAAAAAAAAATAAAAAAAAAAAAAGAAAGGAGGGAAAAATAATTTAGGAAAATTGTTCCCAAAAAAAAAAAAAGGGAGGGAAAAATAATAGACTATTTTTTTTCATTATTACTTAATATGTCAAAATTCTTCTTTCAAAATTAGTGACAAACAATTTTCTCACTAAAAGGCCTAAAAATATAAAAAATAGTAGTGACAAAAATACATTTCTCACCAAATGGTCTTAAAATATTTAAAAATCATTTTTTCAAAAAAAAAAAAAAAATAGATTATTGGTGACGCAAATATATTACTCATTAATAATTTTTTAATTGTTGAAAAAAAAATCTCTCACCAAAAGTTTCAAAATTTTGGCCATCAAAAAAAATTAGTGGGAAAAAAATTTAGGTGAGAAAACTTTTTTTTTTCTCACCTAAAAGTAAGTATTTATTGACGGAAATAAATTTCGTCACCTATTATTTTTATATTTTTCTTATACGTGACAAAATTTATAATTCCTCATGGATTATTCTTATTTAGTGGCGAAATTTGTTTTCTTTACTAATTTTCATCACCATACCAATACAGAGAATAAGAGAAAGAGACACTAGAAAAAGAGCAAAGAGAAATCACGTACCAAATCACCGAGTGAAGAAGATGTGGCGGTTACCGACAAGGCAACTAGTGGCGGCGACGATCGGCAAGGCTAATAGAGGCGACAATGGTGATCGGCGTGGTGGAGGAGCAAGAGGTAAGACAAATAAATACCCTATTTTGAGAGAGAGAGAGAGAGAGAGAGAGAGAGAGAGAGAGAGATGATAAACAGAAAAGGGGTAAAAAAAAATTAATACGCTATGTTTTTTTTAATTGCCCCTCAATATATCAAAAATTTCCCACTAAAATTGGTGACAATATTATTTCCTCACTAAAAGATATCAAAAATATTAAAATGTTTTGGCGACGAAAATATATTCCTCACAAATAATTTTATAATTAGTGACAAATTTTTTTCTCACCAAAAGTCCCAAAATTTTGGCGCCACCAAAAAAAAGTTGCGGGTAAATTTTTGGTGACGAAACTTAATTTTTCCTCACTTAAAATGATGTATTTATTGACGAAAATAAATTTTGTCACCTATCATTTTCATTTTTTTATTATATGTGACAAAATTTATAAATTCCTCACGAATTATTTTTATTTAGTGACGAATCTGATTTTCTTCACTAGTTTTCGTCACCATAGGTTACTTTTGTTGTAGTGCAATCCTCGTCCGTGTGGGCAAGACATAAATCATCGTCTTCCCACCACATGCCATCTGCAGTTGACAGGCACCTGTCCGGTTCTGGCATGACTGTTCCGATACTTGCAGTACCTCCTATTCCTATGCTCGCGGCATTCTCCATTTCTGTACTTGCGGCGGTCTCAACCCCCACATGGGCTTTTGCCTTCCTGATTCTCTCGGAATCTTCGAATCTTTCCCGTTCTGACTGTGTCAATGCAGTAGACTGTTCAATAATCCCTGTACTCAAAATGCTCCAATCCCGAGCGAAATTCTCGACACCGACGCTCTCCGGCGATGCACTATGTTCTTCAACCCTTCCGGCTGTCACTGATATTCTTGCCCCTGCCGGGCCTTGTTTCGACTGAAACTCTCCTACCACATCTGGCTGATCGTCTAACCATCCCGTGGCCTCTGTCGATTCCTCATAATCGAACCAGTTGACGGTTGAGTCTTCTGGATCTTGGTTACTGTAAAACTGGAACTTGGCAAGATCCTCTTCCACAGCTGTCAAATCATCCGTTCCCTGTCCTGGACCGTCCCCTTGAATTGCACACAGCTCTCCTCCTGCTGGAAATTCCACATCTGGTCTATTCTGGCCCATCGGTGAAATGTAGTCACTCGGACTATAAGCGTTCCCAACACCACTCCCAGATTCCGCAGACTCTGGCTCAACAAACCCCTTCTCCTTTGGAGTCTTCTCTCTTCTGTTCTCAATAGTCACCACCGTTGGCTTAGGTTGGGTTATGGAGATGTCCATCACGCACAAATCGGTGCAATCGGGAAGGAACACCTCCGGCTTAGGCAGGTAAGAAGGTGTGATATAGATACTAGGATCGTAGGACACGACCCCAGTATGGATGAAATTGATTCTTTTGGGTGGTGGAGCTTGGTTATGTGTGGGGAGAGGATTTGTAGTAACATTGGGTTTTTCAGGAGGTAAAATCACCCCGTTATCAATGAGATCTTGAATCTCGTGACGCAATCGAAAGCACAGGTCGGTGTCATGACCGTGCTGCTGGTGAAATGCACAATACTTGGCGGGGTTGTGGGTAGCGGGGAGTCTTTCTGGTAAGGGTCGCGGCTCTAGGGGCTTCAGATGTCCCTTTCTGGTTAAGACCCACAAAGCTTTGGACAGGGGCTTATAAAGTGGAGCGAAGGTTCTGGTGTTTTTGGGTGGGTATTTGACTGTTTGTGGGTTGCTTCCGGACGCACCGGAGAATGGTGTGGCTGCCGTAGTTCTTGGGGGAGGGTTGGTGGTGACCACACTCACTTCGGAGGTCCTGACAGTTGTAGTGCCACTCAGGCCCGCATTAGTGTTACGGTTGAAAGTTCTGCGGGGTTGCTCCCGGTCATTGTCAATTAAGCCTTGCTTTAGTGCATCCTTAATCTGCACCCCCATTTCATGTAGATCAGAAAAGGTGTGGAAGGGGAGTACAATCATCTTTTGCATTAACTTTGGCTGAAGATTGCGCACAATCATCCAAATCTGGTCTTTTTCTGTGGGCCTCAAGGTCATCATCGAAGCCTTAGCCCGCCATCTGGTTACGAATTCCGAGAAGCTCTCTTTGGGTTCTTGTCTCGTTGTCTCGAGATCCGGGGTCGTAATCTCGATTTGTGTGTTGTATGAGTACTGCAAGATGAAGGCCTCAGCCATCTCGTCCCAACTCCTCTTGACGTCATCCTCCAATTTGGCATACCATATGGCCGCTACACCCGACAGGGTCCGGCCAAATAGAGACAGCTTCTGCAGTCTAGTGAGGCCCATTGGCCTTAGGATGTCTGAAAACAATCTTAGGTGCACCATGGGGTCTCCAGACCCATCAAATCGATCAATGTACCGGCATCTTGAATCTGTTAGGCAGCGTCACGGCTGCGTCGGTGTATCCGTCTCCAATGTCTGGAATGGACTTCACACCTTGAGATTTTTTGAACAGCTTTTCAAGCTTGCTCATTTTTAATGCCACGGGCTCCACCTCGGGCTCGAATGGAGAATCTGATTGGTTGATAGGAGTGGGTGCCTTGGATAGTTGAGGCGGGATTGGGGGCGGGGCTGGCCCCGTTGGAAGGTCGGAATCCCCTTGGACATTCTGGGCATTCGGTGTTTCTTCGGGTATCGGAACCCTTGGTGGGGGAGGAACTTGTTGCGAAGCAGCTGCTCCGTTTTGCTGTTGTAACCTCACGATTAACTCTGCTTGTTCGCTCACAACCGTGGCCTGCTGTTTGGCGAACTCTGCCTACCGAACGGCATCCTGCTGCATCATTTTCATGCTCTCTTGGAGTTGGCGCACCATCTCCTCTAAGCTAGCCATACTATTCTGCTCTGGTTGAATTACTGGTATATGTTCCTTCCCTGTAGGTGAAACAGGACCCTGATCCCTACTGAACTCAGGTGGGGTAGATAAGGCCCTCTGAACTGACTGTTGAACTAATGCCCTCTGCCTAGCTGTCCTTCGTCTAGTAACCGGGGGTAGGGAGTGGTACACTGGTTGTCCGTGTACCAGATCCTCAGATCGATGGAGCCGACGACCTCCAATCCAGAGTGCTTGGGGAATATCTACCGGGTTAGAAGCAATGGTGCTAAACTACCTAGCAAAAAGATAAATAAAGTAGTAAATAAACAAACAATTGGACGGTATAACGACATAAAATAAACACATACAACGCGCAGTTGGGTATTTCATAATACACAGTTGGTAAGCCGAACATACTGTTCGTCGATACTGATCACTGTTCCCCAGAATCACTATTCCCAAAACTGAACCTGATACCCGCAGATAACTGATCCTCATAAACTGATACTGATGCCCTCAGGTCTAATACTCAATCTTGCAAACTGACATGTACGTTCCTGTAGAGATACACTTTAAAAGCACATAGCAGGTAAGTGAGAACCAAAACACCCCTATGTTGGGGTAGGGTTTCCCTGTCCTATTTTGTCAGGAGCTAGGGTTTCACTATGCACGCAGTAGTTTTCAAACAACGTAACATCGGGTAAGCAACCTGTCTTATCTTGGAATGGTCACTATGGATTTCGATATGCACTAGGTCGAATGGTCAAAAAGGGTGCCCCGGTAAAACTGGGGTTTGTGTTCCCACGCTGTCAGAGCCCATAACCGGTCAGCCTTATGGTCATGCCTTGACAAGACAAGCCTCCGGCAGACCGTTCAGGAATGGCAGATGGCAAACATGGTGTCCTAGGCGCACCAATGCACAAGCAATGCAAAGAGACACATAAATGAAATCAAAACAGAATATCACGAGTTCGAGTCAAGCTCTCT